GTACAATTATAAGGTAACAGTGGAACAAGCTGTTATGTTCCACAGAGAGTTAGAAATGGGGGTGATGGGAGTGGAAAGAGGTTGGGTCTGGTGATATAGGTGTGGGAGTCTTCTGCACAGAAGTGCACCATAAAGCCATTAGATGGATGAGAACTCTAAGACAGAATGGTTCATTGAAAAGAGGAAGGCTGGCTGGGCGTAGTGACTCATGCCTGTAATCCCAGCACTTTGGAAGGCTGAGGCTGATGTATCATGAGGCCGGTGTATCACAAGGTCAGGAGTTCAAAACCAACCTGGCCAACATGGTAAAACCCTGTCTCTACTAAAAATACAAAAATTAAGTGAGCGTGGTGGCACACACCTGTAATCCCAGCTACTTGGGAGGCCGAGGCAGGAGAATAGCTTGAACTCGGGAGGCGGAGGTTGCAGTGAGTGGAGATTGCGCAACTGCACTCCAGCCTGGCAACAGAGCAAGACTCCATCTCCAAATAAATAAATAAATAAATAAACAAACAAATAAATAAAAATAGTTAAAGAAAGAAAGAATGAGAAAAGGGCCGGGTGCCGTGGTTCACTCCTGTAATCCCAGCACTAGGAGGCTGAGGTAGGAGGATTGCTTGAGTTTAGGAGTTTGAACCAGCCTGAGCAACATGGCAAAAACCTATCTCTACAAAAAAATTTAAAAATTAGCCAGGCATGGTGGTGTGTACCTGTAGTCCCAGCTACTTAAAAGGCTGAGGTTAGCCGGGCGCGGTGGCTCAAGCCTGTAATCCCAGCACTTTGGGAGGCCGAGGCGGGTGGATCACGAGGTCAAGAAATCAAGACCATCCTGGTCAACATGGTGAAACCCTGTCTCTACTAAAAATACAAATAAATAAATAAATAAATAAATAAATAAAAATAAAAGGCTGAGGTTGAAGGATTGCTTGAGCCTGGGAGGTTGAGGCTACACAGAACTAAGATTACACCACTGCACTCTCCAGCCTGAGCAAGAGAGTAAGATCCTGTCTCAAAAACAAACAAATAAATAAATAATGAGAAGAGAGAGGGACAGAGGGAAGATCAGAGATGTAACAGCAGAACAAGAATAAAGGATTGTCAAAAGCTGAGAGTGGTGGCTCATGCCTGTTATCTCAGCACCTCGGAAGGTTGAGGCAGGCAGAACACCTGAGGTCAGGAGTTCAAGACCAGCCTGGCCAACATGATGAAGCCCCATCTCTACTAAAAAAATACAAAAATTAGCCAGGAGTGGTGGCAGGCACTGGTAATCCCAGCTACTTGAGAGGCTGAGATGGGGAGAATTGCTTGAACCCAGGAGGCAGAGGCTGCAGTGAGCCCAGATTGCACCACTGCACTCCAGCCTGTGCTACAGAGCAAGACTCATAAAGGTAAAGGAAATGGTGAGCTTTGAGAATGTATTATCAACCAAATGGTTCATTCATTCATTCATTCATTCATTTAACAAATATTTGTTGGTCATTCTGTGGAGCATGTACAGGGTACAGTGTTTTTATCTCCGTTTTTTTGTCTGTTTTGTGTTTGTTTGTTTGCTTTTGTTCCAAAGCAATTTTTAAAAAAATTTCTTTGTATTTTTGACATGGAGTCTTGCTCTGTCGCCCAGACTGGAGTGCAGTGGCGCGATCTCAGCTCACTGCAGCCTCAGCCTCCTGGGTTCCAGTAATTATCCCACCTGAACCTCCCAAGTAGCTGGGATTACAGGCGTGCACCACCATGCCCAGCTAATTTTTTGTAATTTTAGTAGAGATGAGGTTTCACCATGTTGGCCAGGCTGGTCTTGAACTCCTGACCTCAAGTGATCTGCCCACCTGGGCCTCCCGAAGTGCTGGGATTACAGGCGTGAGCCACTGCAGCTGGCCTTTTATTTATTCTTGTTTTTTTCTTTTACCCATAGACTAAGGCCATAGAAACTGTGAACGTGAAGGATAGATTTGGATGAGGGAAAGGTTGGAAATCAGACAGAAAATTGAGATGGCAGGGTCGAGAGTTGTACTTTTTATTTTTATTATTATTATTATTATTATTTGACACAGAGTCTCATTCTGGCTCCCAGGCTGGAGTGCAGTGGTGGGATCTAGGCTCACTGCAACCTCCACCTCCTGGGTTCAAGCAATTCTCGTGCCTCAGCCTCCTGTATAGGTGGGTTTACAGGTGTGTGCACCACCACATCCAGCTAATTTTTGTATTTTTAGTAAAGACAGGGTTTCACCATGTTGCCCGGGCTGCTCTCAAACTCCTGACCTCAACTGATCCACCTGCCTCAGCTTTCCAAAGTGCTGGGATTACAGGGTGTGAGCCACTGCACCCAGCCAATAGTTTTTTTTTTTTTTAATTTAAGAGAAAGGATCTCATTCTGTCATCTAGGCTGGAGTGCAGTGGTTCAATCATACCTCACTGCAGCCTCAAACTCCTGGCCTCAAGCAGTCCTCCTGTCTCAGCCTCCCAAAGTGTTGGGACTACAGGCGTGTGTCACCATGCCTGGCTAATTTTTAAATTTTTTTTGTAAGGGCCGAGCACGGTGGCTCACACTGGTAATCCCAGGATGTTGGAAAGCCAAGGGTGGCAAATCATAAGGTCAGGAGATCGAGACCATCCTGGCTAACACGGTGAAACCCCATCTCTACTAAAAATAATAATTAAAAAATTAGCCGGGCATGGGGGCACGAGCCTGTAGTCCCAGCTACTCAGAAGGCTGAAGCAGGAGAATCACTTGAACCTGGGAGGCAGAGGTTGTGGTGAGCTGAGATCGCGCCACTGCACTCCAGCCTGGGTGACAGAATGAGACTTTGTCTCAAAAAAAAATTTTTTTTTTTTTAGAGATAGAATCTTGCTGTGATGCCAAGCGGTATAAATATTTTTAATTAAGGAAGTCCTGCACATGTTTATAGTATAAGGGAGAGGAACCAAGGGCAAGGGAGAGAGGGAAGATGATAGAGAAGTGCTGGAGGAAGTTGAAAAAAGAGGCAAGAACATATACCAAAGGGTGCAACACTTCTTCTTCTGAGTCCAAAAGGAAGGAGTAGACAGGGTGCCTTGGCTCATGCCTGCAATCCCAGCACTTTGGGACGCCAAGGTGAGCAGATCATGAGGTCAGGAATTCGAGAGTCTGACCAACATGGTGAAATACCATCTTTACTAAAAATACAAAAATTATCTGGGTGTGGTGGCGCATGCCTGTAATCCCAGCTACTTGGGAGGCTGAGGCAGAAGAATCACTTGAACTCAGGAGGTGGAGGTTGCAGTGAACCAAGATTGTCCCACGGCACTCAAGCCTGGGTGACAGAGTAAGACTTTGTCTCAAAAAGAAAAAAAGGAAGGAGTAAAAGTGGGAAACAATTTTTGAGTGATGAATCTAGTATAGAGACAGACAAGAGGGAAAACTTAAAGGGTTCACACGCATGGCCTCAATCTCAAAAAAGAGGAAGGAAAGGCATTCTGCAGAGAGTGGAGAGACGGGGACAGTTGGAGTGGCTTGATGAACCTGGAAAAGTTTGAATAGTTATCTTGAAGGTGACAGGGAGTCAATAAAAGACAAATAAATGTCGACACCAAGTTCTGGGAAGAAAAAGAATTAAAAAAAAAAAAGACAAATAAAGGATCACGGGGCTGCCATTAGAACCCAGCATGAGGCTATTCAGGGAATCTGGGGCTCGGTAAACATGTTCTGGTGAATTTTTTGTTGTTGTTTTGTTTTGTTTTAAGGAATGGAGAGTTTAATAGGCATGAAGGAAGGGAGAAGGAAGAAGCTCCCCTGTACAGAGATGGAGGGAGGGGGACTCCAAAGCCGAAAGAAGGAAACCTCCATTCTGGTGATTTTTCTTCCATCAATACTCCAGAGCCCAGAAGTGAAAAAAAAAAAAAAAAAAAAAGAGGTGGGGGACATGGAGTGACAATCACTGGTTTGGGAACTGATCAGTAGGTAGGTAGGTAAGGGGACAGAACTGAGTAGTTTAGGCTGAGTAAGCAGTCAGATAAAACCAAAAGGGTCCTAGGTCTTGAGACGGGAAAGGTGAGGTCATGACGGATGTGAGAGATAGGCAGCTGTGGTCAAAGACCACAGCTCTGAATCGTGGAAGTAGAGCTGTATCTAGTGATACAAGCTACAAAGTGTGCTCCCATGGGTGCTGCAGGAGGCTGAAGAATGGTGGAGTCAAAGGAAATTGGAGGGCCAGTTGGTCACCTGTTATCCCTTTGGGAGGCTGAGGTCTGGAGATCACTTAAGCCCAGGAGTTTGAGACCAACCTAGGCCAACAAAGTGAGGGCCCATTTCTAGAAAATATTTGCCAGGTTGCTGGGAGCAGTAAGTAGCTCACGGCTGTAAGCTCCCAGTACTTTGAGAGGGTGAGGCAGAAGTATCACTTGAGGCCAGGGGTTTGAGACCAGCCTGGGCAACACATGAGACCCCCCCATCTGTACCAAAACAACAACAACAACATTTATTTAATAGCTGGGTGCAGTAGTGTGCACCTGTAGTCCCAGCTATTGAGACTGAAGCCGGAAGATCGCTAGAGCTTGGGAGGTAGAGGCTGCAGTGAGCTTTGATTGTGCCACTGCACTCCAGCCTGGGCAGCAAAGGGAGACCTTGTCTCAAAGACGAATAAATAAATAAATAAATAAAATAAAACAAAGGACACTGGACTTGAGGAGTTTGGGTAATTGTGAGTTGATCAAATTAAGTGGTAATTCACATAAATGTTAATATAAGAAGCCTAGTATAGCGGAAACAAACGTAGGCTAGGATGTGGAGACCTGGGCTCTATTTACCGTTCTACTTCAGCATCAAAAATTCGCCGCTTTGGGGAAGCCACGATCTTTCTCTGGGGTTGAACCTGAAGACGTCCCATGACATTTCCTGCTCCAAAAAGATAAGGCTTTTTGGAATAACGGCTATGCATTGGCTGATGACGAGAACTCCTCCTGCTGGTCTTTCTTTTGCCTGAGAGGCATCCGGAACCTTTCTGCATTGCTTTCTGCCCCGCCGTGCGGAAGTGAAGGCCGGAAGTCCTTAGCCGGTAGCTTCCGGGTTTCCTGGGCTACTACGATGGCGATGAGTTTCGAGTGGCCGTGGCAGTATCGCTTCCCACCGTTCTTTACGTGAGGCTCAGACCCCAAGAAGCCCCGCTGTGCCTCCCTCCCCTCCCCCGTACCCTGGGCTCAGCCCCGATGCTTCACATGGGGAGGGGGAGAAAAGACCCGGGCGCTAACACCCTCAGTCCCTTACTTTCTCCCCGAAACGTGTCCCGGGCAAGTGCTGCCTCTCGCCCTCTAATTCTGCGCCCCACTCCCTTCACCCGGCAGGTTACAGCCGAACGTGGACACTCGGCAGAAGCAGCTGGCCGCCTGGTGCTCGCTGGTCCTGTCCTTCTGCCGCTTGCACAAACAGTCCAGCATGACGGTGATGGAAGCTCAGGAGAGCCCGCTCTTCAACAACGTCAAGCTACAGCGTATCCGCCCTCAAGCTCTTCCACAGCCCACACACATGCACTTCTGCGCTTTCCCACATGCCTAGACCCCCCCCCCCCCCNCACTTTGGGAGGCCGAGGCGGGTGGATCACGAGGTCAAGAAATCAAGACCATCCTGGTCAACATGGTGAAACCCTGTCTCTACTAAAAATACAAATAAATAAATAAATAAATAAATAAATAAAAATAAAAGGCTGAGGTTGAAGGATTGCTTGAGCCTGGGAGGTTGAGGCTACACAGAACTAAGATTACACCACTGCACTCTCCAGCCTGAGCAAGAGAGTAAGATCCTGTCTCAAAAACAAACAAATAAATAAATAATGAGAAGAGAGAGGGACAGAGGGAAGATCAGAGATGTAACAGCAGAACAAGAATAAAGGATTGTCAAAAGCTGAGAGTGGTGGCTCATGCCTGTTATCTCAGCACCTCGGAAGGTTGAGGCAGGCAGAACACCTGAGGTCAGGAGTTCAAGACCAGCCTGGCCAACATGATGAAGCCCCATCTCTACTAAAAAAATACAAAAATTAGCCAGGAGTGGTGGCAGGCACTGGTAATCCCAGCTACTTGAGAGGCTGAGATGGGGAGAATTGCTTGAACCCAGGAGGCAGAGGCTGCAGTGAGCCCAGATTGCACCACTGCACTCCAGCCTGTGCTACAGAGCAAGACTCATAAAGGTAAAGGAAATGGTGAGCTTTGAGAATGTATTATCAACCAAATGGTTCATTCATTCATTCATTCATTCATTTAACAAATATTTGTTGGTCATTCTGTGGAGCATGTACAGGGTACAGTGTTTTTATCTCCGTTTTTTTGTCTGTTTTGTGTTTGTTTGTTTGCTTTTGTTCCAAAGCAATTTTTAAAAAAATTTCTTTGTATTTTTGACATGGAGTCTTGCTCTGTCGCCCAGACTGGAGTGCAGTGGCGCGATCTCAGCTCACTGCAGCCTCAGCCTCCTGGGTTCCAGTAATTATCCCACCTGAACCTCCCAAGTAGCTGGGATTACAGGCGTGCACCACCATGCCCAGCTAATTTTTTGTAATTTTAGTAGAGATGAGGTTTCACCATGTTGGCCAGGCTGGTCTTGAACTCCTGACCTCAAGTGATCTGCCCACCTGGGCCTCCCGAAGTGCTGGGATTACAGGCGTGAGCCACTGCAGCTGGCCTTTTATTTATTCTTGTTTTTTTCTTTTACCCATAGACTAAGGCCATAGAAACTGTGAACGTGAAGGATAGATTTGGATGAGGGAAAGGTTGGAAATCAGACAGAAAATTGAGATGGCAGGGTCGAGAGTTGTACTTTTTATTTTTATTATTATTATTATTATTATTTGACACAGAGTCTCATTCTGGCTCCCAGGCTGGAGTGCAGTGGTGGGATCTAGGCTCACTGCAACCTCCACCTCCTGGGTTCAAGCAATTCTCGTGCCTCAGCCTCCTGTATAGGTGGGTTTACAGGTGTGTGCACCACCACATCCAGCTAATTTTTGTATTTTTAGTAAAGACAGGGTTTCACCATGTTGCCCGGGCTGCTCTCAAACTCCTGACCTCAACTGATCCACCTGCCTCAGCTTTCCAAAGTGCTGGGATTACAGGGTGTGAGCCACTGCACCCAGCCAATAGTTTTTTTTTTTTTTAATTTAAGAGAAAGGATCTCATTCTGTCATCTAGGCTGGAGTGCAGTGGTTCAATCATACCTCACTGCAGCCTCAAACTCCTGGCCTCAAGCAGTCCTCCTGTCTCAGCCTCCCAAAGTGTTGGGACTACAGGCGTGTGTCACCATGCCTGGCTAATTTTTAAATTTTTTTTGTAAGGGCCGAGCACGGTGGCTCACACTGGTAATCCCAGGATGTTGGAAAGCCAAGGGTGGCAAATCATAAGGTCAGGAGATCGAGACCATCCTGGCTAACACGGTGAAACCCCATCTCTACTAAAAATAATAATTAAAAAATTAGCCGGGCATGGGGGCACGAGCCTGTAGTCCCAGCTACTCAGAAGGCTGAAGCAGGAGAATCACTTGAACCTGGGAGGCAGAGGTTGTGGTGAGCTGAGATCGCGCCACTGCACTCCAGCCTGGGTGACAGAATGAGACTTTGTCTCAAAAAAAAATTTTTTTTTTTTTAGAGATAGAATCTTGCTGTGATGCCAAGCGGTATAAATATTTTTAATTAAGGAAGTCCTGCACATGTTTATAGTATAAGGGAGAGGAACCAAGGGCAAGGGAGAGAGGGAAGATGATAGAGAAGTGCTGGAGGAAGTTGAAAAAAGAGGCAAGAACATATACCAAAGGGTGCAACACTTCTTCTTCTGAGTCCAAAAGGAAGGAGTAGACAGGGTGCCTTGGCTCATGCCTGCAATCCCAGCACTTTGGGACGCCAAGGTGAGCAGATCATGAGGTCAGGAATTCGAGAGTCTGACCAACATGGTGAAATACCATCTTTACTAAAAATACAAAAATTATCTGGGTGTGGTGGCGCATGCCTGTAATCCCAGCTACTTGGGAGGCTGAGGCAGAAGAATCACTTGAACTCAGGAGGTGGAGGTTGCAGTGAACCAAGATTGTCCCACGGCACTCAAGCCTGGGTGACAGAGTAAGACTTTGTCTCAAAAAGAAAAAAAGGAAGGAGTAAAAGTGGGAAACAATTTTTGAGTGATGAATCTAGTATAGAGACAGACAAGAGGGAAAACTTAAAGGGTTCACACGCATGGCCTCAATCTCAAAAAAGAGGAAGGAAAGGCATTCTGCAGAGAGTGGAGAGACGGGGACAGTTGGAGTGGCTTGATGAACCTGGAAAAGTTTGAATAGTTATCTTGAAGGTGACAGGGAGTCAATAAAAGACAAATAAATGTCGACACCAAGTTCTGGGAAGAAAAAGAATTAAAAAAAAAAAAGACAAATAAAGGATCACGGGGCTGCCATTAGAACCCAGCATGAGGCTATTCAGGGAATCTGGGGCTCGGTAAACATGTTCTGGTGAATTTTTTGTTGTTGTTTTGTTTTGTTTTAAGGAATGGAGAGTTTAATAGGCATGAAGGAAGGGAGAAGGAAGAAGCTCCCCTGTACAGAGATGGAGGGAGGGGGACTCCAAAGCCGAAAGAAGGAAACCTCCATTCTGGTGATTTTTCTTCCATCAATACTCCAGAGCCCAGAAGTGAAAAAAAAAAAAAAAAAAAAAGAGGTGGGGGACATGGAGTGACAATCACTGGTTTGGGAACTGATCAGTAGGTAGGTAGGTAAGGGGACAGAACTGAGTAGTTTAGGCTGAGTAAGCAGTCAGATAAAACCAAAAGGGTCCTAGGTCTTGAGACGGGAAAGGTGAGGTCATGACGGATGTGAGAGATAGGCAGCTGTGGTCAAAGACCACAGCTCTGAATCGTGGAAGTAGAGCTGTATCTAGTGATACAAGCTACAAAGTGTGCTCCCATGGGTGCTGCAGGAGGCTGAAGAATGGTGGAGTCAAAGGAAATTGGAGGGCCAGTTGGTCACCTGTTATCCCTTTGGGAGGCTGAGGTCTGGAGATCACTTAAGCCCAGGAGTTTGAGACCAACCTAGGCCAACAAAGTGAGGGCCCATTTCTAGAAAATATTTGCCAGGTTGCTGGGAGCAGTAAGTAGCTCACGGCTGTAAGCTCCCAGTACTTTGAGAGGGTGAGGCAGAAGTATCACTTGAGGCCAGGGGTTTGAGACCAGCCTGGGCAACACATGAGACCCCCCCATCTGTACCAAAACAACAACAACAACATTTATTTAATAGCTGGGTGCAGTAGTGTGCACCTGTAGTCCCAGCTATTGAGACTGAAGCCGGAAGATCGCTAGAGCTTGGGAGGTAGAGGCTGCAGTGAGCTTTGATTGTGCCACTGCACTCCAGCCTGGGCAGCAAAGGGAGACCTTGTCTCAAAGACGAATAAATAAATAAATAAATAAAATAAAACAAAGGACACTGGACTTGAGGAGTTTGGGTAATTGTGAGTTGATCAAATTAAGTGGTAATTCACATAAATGTTAATATAAGAAGCCTAGTATAGCGGAAACAAACGTAGGCTAGGATGTGGAGACCTGGGCTCTATTTACCGTTCTACTTCAGCATCAAAAATTCGCCGCTTTGGGGAAGCCACGATCTTTCTCTGGGGTTGAACCTGAAGACGTCCCATGACATTTCCTGCTCCAAAAAGATAAGGCTTTTTGGAATAACGGCTATGCATTGGCTGATGACGAGAACTCCTCCTGCTGGTCTTTCTTTTGCCTGAGAGGCATCCGGAACCTTTCTGCATTGCTTTCTGCCCCGCCGTGCGGAAGTGAAGGCCGGAAGTCCTTAGCCGGTAGCTTCCGGGTTTCCTGGGCTACTACGATGGCGATGAGTTTCGAGTGGCCGTGGCAGTATCGCTTCCCACCGTTCTTTACGTGAGGCTCAGACCCCAAGAAGCCCCGCTGTGCCTCCCTCCCCTCCCCCGTACCCTGGGCTCAGCCCCGATGCTTCACATGGGGAGGGGGAGAAAAGACCCGGGCGCTAACACCCTCAGTCCCTTACTTTCTCCCCGAAACGTGTCCCGGGCAAGTGCTGCCTCTCGCCCTCTAATTCTGCGCCCCACTCCCTTCACCCGGCAGGTTACAGCCGAACGTGGACACTCGGCAGAAGCAGCTGGCCGCCTGGTGCTCGCTGGTCCTGTCCTTCTGCCGCTTGCACAAACAGTCCAGCATGACGGTGATGGAAGCTCAGGAGAGCCCGCTCTTCAACAACGTCAAGCTACAGCGTATCCGCCCTCAAGCTCTTCCACAGCCCACACACATGCACTTCTGCGCTTTCCCACATGCCTAGACCCCCCCCCCCGCCCAACCCCTCTTTACCCATGGTACGCAGATTCCCACCCAAACTGGACTTAAAGAGTGAAAATGTGTAGCTGAAATTTTACTTGTGAAAATGCAGTACCAGACCCTCTTGTTCTTGGCAGTAATGAAGGTTCAGCTGTCACTGAGATCTTAGAATTTCTGCCCTGAAGCCAAGTTCCAAACTTTTTAACCTAAGCCCTTTTGACTATTTGTATCTCCCATCCTTTTCTGTGTGAGGCCCA